GGTCCTCCCAGCCGGGTGCCGGGCCCGAGTCGCACATCGACGGAAAAAACCGTCGGCCCAATGAGGCTGGGTGTTCATGGGTGCTGCTCATCGGCGAAAGCCACATGGAAAAGCGTTGGGTTGCAAGCAGATCTTCCTTTGCTTGCTAAGAACACGGAGATCGATGGGCTCAGGATGCTTCAGCTTGGAGCAAGCAGCATCGATCGAAGTTAGGAGTCCTCACAAAATCCTTAGAAAGAGAACAAGGTCTCACCGGAAGATGGGACCATATATACATTCCCTGGCATGATCCTGATCCAACGGTGGATGGCAGTTTCGGCCCCCCCTTTCGCTCCTTTTCGGATGACGAGTTCAATCCTTCAGACGGTTTTCCACTTCCACTGATCTATGTTTGTGTACACATTCATGTACATTCCCAATGCCAGACACTCCATGTATGCCATATACCTATACATTGGGTTGGTTTGGGGGGGAATGGTATTTAAACATATTGTAAACATCTCCATCTCTGACCATCTCTAAGCAATGAATCCGTCTATTTCAAGCCAGCATTGCAAAGGTTGGTTTCTCTTCCAACTTGCAATGGCCCAACAACAAGCTCAAGAGTCTATACTAGAGTCATCTAGAGTCTATATATGTGTGCATCGCCCATACACCAGGTGTGCCGCACATCATCTTGGATTCAATATGAAAACATCAAACAAATCAGCAGAACATGAGAGCATGATCCCAGCTCTGGGGCGCGATGGCATCGCCATCCCGCGCTGATGATATTCTGCTGCTTTCGATGTTTGGTCCCGTCTTTGGGTGCTCATGTGATCAGCCTTCCACCTTCACAGGATGTTGGAGATTCCATTCTGCTTGAAGGGTGCTTCCTGGATCAGATCGAGGTGCACATCATGAAACCTCCGAAATGTCCTGGAGCTTCCTGTGACGCTGCTTTCCGCTGCTTTCCGCTGTGTGTCTCCATGTGTGCCACTGTCCATCCACCGCCGTCTCAAGGTGTGTCCGACATGGTCTTCCTGTCTCCCTAACCACGACGTATTAATGGGACTGGCAGCCGTTGACCGGTACATGGTCAACCACTGAATCACCATATACCGATCAGGCCAGGGGTGCTTGGGGGTCAATGATCGCAATGTATACCAGTCCCATTAGTCGTGTCTGCCTGGAGCCCGGTGCCCCCGTCCGCCCGGTACGACGATCTCGGTCTACCGACGCTCAACGGGTGGAAGCAGCACCAGCTGCAGACCTATGTCGACGGCCAAGTGCAAGAGCTCAAAGGAAATCCACCGAAAGATGGCCCACTAGTCACAACATGGAACATCACCCATACACGACCCATGGGGCTGCCAGGACGGACTGCCGCCCCAGACAGACCCCCCTACCCCAATGTGGGCATATATGGCAGTCACATGGAGCGTCTGGGTCATGGAACATCTGAGAACATCACGGACCCCTCGCTGTTCAGTCCATGTGTCGTTCAGTCCGTCCCGTGGTCCAGATCAGCTGTTCGAGCCGGTCGGTTCTCCTTGTACTTCTGAGTCTCAATCAAGTCAACCAAGTAGTCCACCTGAAAAGCATCGAAAGCATGTCTCTTGTGTCGTTTGATGTCTGCGGTTCCCAGAAAAACCTGGGGACCCGGAGTGGCTCCCCAGCGAAACCCTTTTGGACCCAGCAATGGAAAAATCTCGATGTTCTCTCGCGAATCCTTTCCCCAACGTCGAAGCTCCAAACTCGAGGCCCCCAACTCGATCGACATCCACAGATCCAGGAGACATGTCGTTCAGCAACCACGTCTGTTTGAGACTGGCATCTTTACCCATCAGACTAGGGGGGTGAGGCGTTGTTGATTTCTAAATGGGTCCGCCGAGTCGTACCTGGGGCTGTCTACGGAAGTTCGGAGGTTGGCGGCTGAGGCAAAAAGGTCTCTTAAGAAATTAAGGAACCGGGAAAAGGCAAAAACAATGCAAAACATCTTCCCTGGAAGGAGATTCACCCACAGGGAAAAACATCCTCCTAAGCAAAACCAGGGCGGTTGCCATTGAACCGAGATCCCTGACCAACATTTTGGCTGGTACAACATATGGTGGAATATGACAAAGAAAACGGTGGTTTGAAATGGTTTGAACTCATCTCAGCTCATGTGCCCCAGCCCCACCAACAATCGCCCACAGCACCTTTGATGTTTAGTTCCTGGTGACATCACCAGTCACATCAAGTTGCCAATCCAACCCCATGCCCCATGCTTGTTTATACTTCTTTCCCATCCTCACCGGAACCCATCTAAACACACGGCATGTCGGGTCCAAACTGGGACACCCTGGGTTTTTCCCACCTGGCGAATGAACAGAATAGACGACCTGACATGGTCAACCTACGAGTTGTTGCAGGGGCTCCGGGTGCCGAGTTACCCCATGGCCCCTTGACTACTCCAATCTGTTGGGATGCGAAGTCCTTCGCATGTCGAATTCTGCTTCAGGGCATCGCAACGGCATGCTCTTCAGACACTTTATGTACAGGAGATATGGCAACACTTGCCTGACCACCCCAATGTAGAGGTAGGTGCCCCAAACGCTCCATGTATGGAATATATTGGAATATTTATCTACATTGACCCCAGGTCAATCACCCCAAGATACCCCCAAGGTATCCAACTAAGCCACATCCCAAGACTGGCCTCAGACTGCTGTCTGGGTCTGTCTCTCAGAGGTCCCGCCCCCTTTCCTTCGGGCGCCCTTTAGGCTCGGGGCTGGGTGACGGATGTCTCCGGAGACGTCGAGGTTCATGAGCGCGAAGCGCAAGCTCTTCCTGGTCAGACGGACCCCGGACCGTCACCGGACGGTCAAACCGGTCCAACCCGTCGTCGGTGTTTGGCGCGGTCGAGTTGGAACCCGAAGACTCGGAGGTGGCGGGAGAAACGGGAGTCCGGAGACCCCATGGAGGATCGGAGTCGGGTGCCTATCCACATCCACATCGCCGGACGTTTCACACCACCCCCGAGCTCCGTGACTCCTGATGTTTGGAGGGTTTTGGAGATGTTTGGAGGGGTTTTTCCCCTCCAAACATCACCCATGCACCCTCAGCTCCGGAGCTGAGAAAAGCCCTATGTCGGGCTTCTGGGAGCAGCAACAGTGTGGATAGCACACGATAGCACAGGTCTCTTTGAAACTGGCTGGAGAAAGAGCTCCATGACTCAAAATTTCGCCGCCCACACAATGACACGGTGTTAACCCCCCTTTTCCCCTGCATATCACCCCCTTGTGACACAAAAAACGAATGACAAGTTCTTCCCTCCAAGGTGATGACTCGCAAGAACCCACCCCTACAAGTCCAAGGACCAAGTCAAACCTGGTCCTTGACCTCATTGAGTACTGGTTTTGCATGACCGGACCCAGTTAAATGAGGTCTTTGACCAGTATAGGAAAAAGGCATTCATTGGACTGTCCCATGATCTCCTTCGGAGATGTTCGATTCTTCTTTTGGCAGGGGTTTGGGGCCTGAACCAAATCTTCACCCTCAATTTGAGGGTTCTTGTTGCTGAGGGCAGAAGCGGTGCCAGAACCACTCCATGTCACTTACATTCTTCCATGATGTTCCATGATGAATTCACCATCCTCCCTTCGGATCGAGAAAACATGCAAAAAATTACCCGTCCGAAGTACAGAGGTTAGGATTCGGCTGCACCGAAATGGGGCGGCCCATGGTTCCACCCCAGTCACATGCTGAAAAGGATGAAAAGGGCTGTCTTTGGTTGCTCAAGGGAGTGATGGATAAGTTTGGTGTTTGGTTCTTTTGATATTGAATTGTATGAATCTGGCAACACTCGGTGGATTCAGAGTTACCTTTCAGGTTCATTAATGCTTAGAGTCAGTTCTTGACAGACAGTTGGTGAAGGCTTCTTTTCTTTGTTTTGTTACTGTACCAACCCTGTAGTAGCCATAGCTTCTGAGGCCCAAAAAGGGTGAGTTGCTACTTTTATTGTTCAGCAGAAGTTGAGAATGCATGGCAATCCTTTCCTTATATGTCCATTGGACCCGCAAGTATTGGCTCTGGTGAGTAGCATGTCCTTCACGATGCGTTATTCGCGCCCGCAATTGTGAGACATGAACTGTTGACATGATTATTGTTCTATATGTATATATATATACCTATAGAACCCATTATTTGACCTTTGCTTTGATAGGAAAAGACCATGTTTTGGCTCCAAAACAGGGGTTAATCAGGTTCTAGGTATATTTATATATATATGCATGCTTCTGGCTTCTTCTTGGGGGGATCCCCACCCAAAATCGTGAGCAGGGAGGTGGTTCCAAGGAAAATATCTGTGGACAGATGCGGGAAAGCATGGACATAGTATGCTTCCTGCTTGGCTCGGACTCCCTTAGGTCCGACTGGTTTTGGCAGAAGGGCTCGCTTTTTGGGGCACAGGTTTTACCAGCTTAGAACTGGGGTTTGAGGTGTTCTATGACCGGTCATAGGGCCAAGAAAAGGCCCATGATCATCTCACTGATAGGTCCTAACTCATCTCAACACCACCCTGCTCGCATGGGACGCTCCGCCACGGTCGACCGTGTGCGGTCGACCAGGTAGTGACGAGGAGAAGATGCCGCAGACCAGGTGGGTGGTGCTGGATCGGTCCAAAGACGTCTTCGAACGTTGGAATCTCATCTAGGTTTGAAGAGCTGGGGAGAGGGTAAGATAAAGCAAGAGGAGTGGGAAGAGAGTCCCCGCTTCTTTGGCCTCAGAAGTCATCGCCCCAGTTCCGTCCTATCTGGGGGACAGGGTGGTAACGCCGAAGCACCGGAAGCACCCATAAGCACCCCTGTGATTGACCCGTGAAATACAGCCGTGATGTGATAGAAATCTACAGAACTGATTTAACCCAAAGTCCACCGGGTTGTTTTGGGGCAAACAACCTCTTTCCTTCCAACCCCGTGATCTGGATCCTATTTTTAGCTCGTGCTCTCGCGCTCCGAAAACCCGTTTGGACGCTTGGCTTATACGGCTTCCTCTTTCCCCCCGGCCACCGTCCCCCACGACACGCTCGGTCTGGGGCCGTCGGTCCAGTCCATCGGTCCGTCCCGGTCCAGCCTGGCCGCTTCGCGGTTGGGACCCTTAGCGAAGATGTGCCCGAACTGGGAGTCCGCGAACTCATGAATGCCACCCTGCGCATTCGAGAGGGGACCCAAGGACCCGGCACGGTGCCCACAAGGGAAAGAGAGCAGGAGCTGCCTTCTGGGAGGGACCTGACCGGGACCAGATGGGCGGGATGAGCGGGGCGAGATGATTGAGAGCGTGGATCTTGTGGAGCATATATAGAGCTAAATAGAGCTAAAGATGAGCCCAAGAGTATCGTGGAGTGGTGTGGCCGCCAGTGATTCACATGCGCGCATACCGCTTCGAGGTCTTCGGATGTGTGGAAAGCTATGGCCGTCCACCCATGGTGAGGGCCCCCACCGGTCGTTCCTTTGAGACGCAGAACTTGGGTCCCACGGATCGGAAAGGCCAGTGGTATACATTCCAAAGACTCCATGGTTACGGAGTATAGGAAGACCATGATTAACCCCCTTTCACCCATCAACCACCTGAATCAAGCCTTCCTGCCTTCCTGCCTTCCTGCCTTCCTTCCTCATGCAACACGCCAGTCCCCCCAAACCTCCTACCATGGTGTGTTTGTTCAATGTTTTTTCCGGTGTCCCCCAAAAAATCATCTTTCCAAAAACGTCCTGCGGGTCACAGAAGAGCCGGTCCTCGCTTTGGGCTTCCGGTCCTTTTCGTTGGACCCACCGAAACTACGCCCGCAACACGCCGGGCGTGTTTAACGCCTTCAACCCGACGCTGAAGTAGCCCCAGCAATCGCCGGAGGATTGAAACCTGCCGCTCTGTCTGACGGACGGAAAAACCGAGGCGATTGGAGGCGATAGCAAGTCCAAAGACCCAGGTTAAACATTGCTAAACACGCGCTAAAACCATCGACACCAAGTCTTTAACATCCTTTAGCACTTCTCTTATAAGACAGGTGCAGCAGCATGTAGGAATACAAATCCCATCCCAAGACTGCTGGGTTTCCTGGTTGTTATTGGATTTCTGAGGTCCTTACCGAATTTTACTTGACGAAAACGGGGCTTGTCGGGCCATTGAGGAAAAATGGTGTTGGCCCAACACACAAAGGCTTTCGGCCCTTTATTATATAGATATGCAAGGCCAGGTACGTTTCTGTCCATTCTCAGAATCAGGGTTGGGGTCAAGGAGTCTTGTAGAAGGTTTTTAGAGGCAATGACCACTCAAACCGTAAAGCCTGCAAAAGGACATGCAAGATAATCACATGGGAGCTCATGTGGTTAGCCAGGTTAGCTCCTTAGCCCGACCAGCCACTTGGTCCTCAGATAGGTTTGCACATGAAGGTGATGTTCCAGCAGGTTGTTGATGGTGAAACTGGATGTTAATGCTCTCATTGCTCAGATCACATGCACTTTGGTCACCCGCGAAGGTCCAGCAAGGTCAGGGGTCCAAGGTCGCAGCTGACAGGAATAGAAAGTCGTAGATTCGATTAAAAGGAATGGATGTCCAAATGTCCAATTCCTTTACCCCAAAGGGGGATTTGTTGGAGCAATTTGGGATGGCATCAGCCATCCTTCCATGGATGTTCATGGAAAAACCACTCATGGTTCCTGGGATAGATTCGATTCATAGCCACATTCCTTTTGGCATCTTTTGAGGCCATCCTTTCTGTTCAGATCCTGTCAGTGGTGTCGCCGAGCTGGATTCCAGGTCATCATTGGACCCCCGCGGTTGAATCAAAAGATCTTCCAGGAGTCGAAGGGGGCCCCACATGGACCCACTTATCCATGATTCTTTTGGTGCAGAAGGAAAAGGACACGGCCAATTCAACCAGACGGAGTTCCAATCCAATCCACTTCATTCCACCCTCCATATCTCCAAAAGGCCTCGACCCCCCAGTGTCCTCCAGTGCTTCCCAGTTGGGTGCGCGCCAACGGTCCCCTTAGTCCCTTGAGGCCACGAACTCTGCAAGAACCCTCAGGGGATTTAAGGAGTTAGGGCACTGAAGAGTGACCACCTTGTCTGAAGTGGTGGATTTCCTTCTGCGATGTGCATGTGGCTTCCAAACAAAACGGCATGCGCTTAGAATATGCGAGAATCTAAGCCCTGGAATTTGCCCAGATATGAGATCTGATGATACTCATACGTTACCCATGTCATACCTTCCAATCTCGTCTGAAGCAAGCTCCAACAAACCCTCCGGCACCATCCAACCCGAGTCACACAATGCTGGAGAACCCGCGGCCTGATGCTGTTGATCTTACCGCTGGTGGGCTTGAAGCCCTCGTCCGGGTTCTCCGCAGTGATCCGGGACGCGCAGCAATGCTGCGCGGGCGGAGCTCTGCGGCGGAGCTCTGCGGAGCTTCGGGGGGTCTTCGGGTTGGGACCTGGGAAGGAAAAGGGGCCAAGGAGATGCCTCCCCAGTGCCCCCCAGGGGCCAAGGGGTCGTCCTAGGTCCTAACAATAGAGGCTTTACATGGTTTCACTGTTGTTGTCCATGAACCACCCAAAAGTGGTTGCTAAGATGGTGATTGCGGATATCCTGTGTGGTTTTGGGGGGCTTGTTGGAACCAAGTGGATTCAAAAAACAGTCGAAGTACTTCAGGTTGTCAATAGCTTCGAAGGGGGAGTTCTTCATCCCTACAGATTTTGACTGGGTCCGGAAAAATGCAAAACCAGTCAAGGGACCAGGATGAATTAACGTGGTCCTTGGACTTGTAGGGCATGGCGGCTCTGCTGGGTGACTGATCGTGCTGATGGGTCCCTGAATGTCACACGGTTCTACTCGGAGGGTCGCCTGACATGACCTTCCTGGTCTTTTGGCTGGAGGCCTGGCATGCTTGGGAGTGAACAACATCTTCCGCATCTGAGGACGAAGAATCTCCAAAAAAAAACTGAATTTGGCCACAAAGCTTGGCACATTCTCTGTGGCCCAAGTGAGGCCACAAAAGATTGTGTCAGGACATGTCAAGACTGGATTTTACTCGGTGGTCTTGGAGACCATCTTGTCGGGCACTTCAGTCAGACCTGGCTGACCTTTCTATATGTCTCTTGAACACAAAAAAAAAGCGGCCGTAAACGAGTAAACATGTCTCCTGATGTCTCTGGTCATGTCTTCGGTCGTCTAGCTCATCAACCCCAAAAAAACCGGTCCCTCCCGAAGGTCCGAGCCGAGCCGAGCCGATCCGGCCCCTCCGACCCCGGGTGGGCTCCGCGCCGAGGTGATGGGAGGATAGTCCACTTGGAAGAAGTCAATCTTCGTGCACTCCGCCCTGGGCCGGTGTAGACGAATAAGTGGGGAGAGAGATGACTAGTACGTGGTTGTTGGTGCTGCTGGAAGTCATGAACTGTGGAGAGGGGCAAAGGTTCTCGATTCGATGGGCTAGGTTTTATTGGACATTCATTTGGGAACAGTCTTCAGGTTGCATGCATTTGGAACCCAGCTGACACCGGCTGGTTTGGGTGTGCGCCCTGTAGATCAGAGAGGCCGGGGGTTGGTGACGAAAGCGAAGCATGGCTTGGAAACGGGATGTGAAGCATCGTGAAACATCGATGCTTGTTGACAGTATGATTGCTGGCAGTCGCCGCCCCCTGCAGGATGTTTACCAGGTGTTTTGTGGTTTAAGTTCACAGACCAGTTCAATCATGTTTGAATTGGCCCTGGAAGGCTGGGGTTTACCCATTCCATGGCCCTAATGCCGGTAGCTCCTCCATAGACTTGCGTCATACTTCAAATGCGCGACGAAGTTTCGAGGTGTGCGCGTGAGTCACATCTGCGTCACGACGCTCTCGAGCGCCTCATCTGTGCACACCGTCTCTTTCAAGCATGGGGGGTGGGAGGCTGGTGTTAGGGCAATTTCATTTGAGTCCATGCTACAGCAGCACGCAATTTCAATACTTGGATCCGGGCATGTACCTGTGGAATTTGCTTACACCGGAAAACAAGGGGTGGGTAGGCATAGACAAATATTTTGTACTGGGAATTGATTTTTTTTAGTGCGGTTTTCATATGGTGTCACACAGGTATCCGGTGGTTTTGGCTTGGATGTAGTGAGATATTTCAAGTTGTGGGATCGCTTGGTTGTGACAAGGTCGAAAATTGTATGCTACGTTGGGCCTCCGTGCAAGCGCCCAAAGAAAATTATACCGCCCCGAGGGCTCTGAGTCTATTAACATATCAGTTATTTTTTTTTACAGTCACGAGGGCTTTTAGGGCCAATGCACTGTGTGAGAGTGTGAGTGTGTGAGTGTGAGTCTGTGGGTGAGCGAGTGGAGTGGAGTGGAGTGGAGTGGAGTGGAGTGGAGTGGAGTGGA